CTTTATTAAAGTCCCAGAAAGTTGAGATAAAACAGAATAATAGTAATTAGGTAGAAGGATTATCGTGAAGTATATAAGTGACATTTTAGAGAGAATTGGCTAGAAGGATTAGAACCTGTTTGATATGGTGACCTGTAGGATGTCTGGCGAACTCGTGTATGGCCCATGGGATAGCATCTTGACAAGAAACTGAGCAGGCTTGTAGATGTAATGAGGTACATATTTATTCCTACAAATGTAGGACACACAAGTTGTATAGGCACGGATAAGTACTATTTAAGTTACATATTTAAATTACATGATTTACAGTTAAATAACATGGTTGCTGTCATTTTATCTTTAGTTTGTGGGAAAAATCGGATAACTGTTGATTCCATGGAACACATCAAGAAATATAGAGATATTGACTTCGCATTAACTGCATTGACAGCAAATGCTGAATTATTTGAGTCTTTACTATCTTCTCTATTACACGTGAAACTACAGACATGATGTTGATGGGGCGTTAGTTTTTGATATTAGCCATAGACCCGTACTTATGGATAGGTACAACATAAGACTTCTTCCAGCTGGAAAGGTATGTCCCATCGCTTAGTGAAATTGAATGTGACTTGAGTAGGAGTAAATTCACGTCATTACCACCGTTGCTCAGCAGAATGGAAGATATACCGCCTGGGCACACGGAATTAGACACAGGCAGCATGTTACCATGTGGTTATCTGGTCACTGCCGGCTTAGTAACCATAACTGTTAGCAGTATGTCCAGAGGGAACTGAACTTTATAAAAAATAGAGTACGGCAACACTCAGGTTAGTCAAATTTCCTCATCATAATAGCTGGTAATCCTGATCATTTCAAGAGGTAAAAATTATTTAAAATGTTAATAGCGAGTGAGGACAACGAATGATAATTATTTCATTCTGAATGATAATGGTCTTCACTCTTACCTTTGAGACATGCATTTTATTGTTGGATAAAAACTTCTCCAAAGTACTCACAAAGGACTTTGCAGGAGCCATAAATTTGCGATATCTCTTCTCACCCAGGTGATGTGTTCAACCGATTAGCTTTCGATATGATAGAGAAGATTTGTAGCTCAGAGAACACAACCACACCAAAATCAATTAGCTTTCGTCAACTTCAGTAAGAGTGTACATAAATATGATTACTGAGTTGTAGGTGTATATTGCACACAGAGCAGTGGAAATAAATGCAATTTAATAGGTCATTTCGCCAGGATTTGATTCTGGATGATTGCAAAATCATAGCTAGAGTTATTTGTAAGATCCCTAAATGCCTATGCTCTCTTTTAACATTGACTTCTTCTCGGTATTCCACTGAGAAGCTCTCACGGATGTGAATTTTTTAAGTGAAATCGCGTACTCTAGTACCTGCTTGAACTTCAAATTTCTAATCGGCAAGACATAAATTAATTTTGCTTGACTTAAAATGGTCTAGAAGAAGTCATGCGTCACGTTTTCTTGATGATACGTAGTTTTTTGTCCTAATTACCTCAGCGAAAGAACGGTATTTCTCGGTCATTAATTACTCACTTGTCTCAAATTCTGATCAAATTTTATTGCCGTAATGGTCATCTTCGTCACATATAGTTAATGTACTGAGATCTTGCTCTTCGCTTTCGCTTAAGATCGTCACTTTTATTGACCTCATCAACTTGAGCAACAAAAGTTACGGTACGTAAATTAATTTGTTGACTGAGTTAGTTATATGACCTGCAATGAAAGTGATATGCCACTAATACGAAATTAGAAAGAGAGTAGGGGATCAGTGAAGTTCCATAATTCGATTGAACCCTGGCAATTTTAACCTCGACTACATTTTACCTCGATGAATGGGGGAGGAGGAGTAAATTGCAGATATATTGATTTTTTAAGGATCAGTTCGTAGTGCCTGTATTCTTTTGGCCTTTCTATACTCGTTCACTTGAGCTCATCCTGCGACAAAAATATGCAACTTACTCCTCTTCTGTTGTTTGAGACGGTTTTAGGAACAGCTTGGCCAAAGTATTAGGATTGGATAGTCTATGAAGCCAGTGATTCGTGTGACCAAACTTTAGGTCTGATGAGATAAACGGCCTCACAGCTAAGATGAATGTCAATTTTAGGCAAGGCAGTTATTCAAATCAGCCCGCTGAACTTTAAGTGATGCAGCTTGATGACATCCTAGATATAGTTAGTTCGACACGATCATCACTGACAAACGCACTTCCTGCCTATATTCATCAATTTCGATTTTACCTAATTTTTCGTTTTGGACAATCATTTTAATCCCCGTAAAATTATTAGAATATCATGAAGTACATGTGAGATGATCTTTTAATATCTAAACTTCCACTTTCTTCCAAAAATTGGCAAGTTATATCTGATAACACTGTTCCGCTTAGCCCGCCATAATCAGATTTAAGCTATATTTAGTCGCTCTGTGGAGCTTTCAACTTGACTTTTGTCATTCATGTGTAAAATTTCGCCTTACTTGGGGCAATCGTTACAACTCTACTGGATTAGCCTGATTTGAATACCCTGTAAATCACATCCTGTCATCTTTCAGTCAGCAAGTGCCATCCATTCTACCGGAAACATGTTTTTTCCGCGAGTTCCTAATCATAGAATGTTTTAGTGAGTCAATATTAGTAGCGGTCTGCATTAATAAGGAAGATTTGTAGCTCAAGTGGATGATGTTGAATTAGTTGTGTTCTCTCAGCTGGTTGATTTAATTGCGAAGAATAAGCTCATTTTTACCAAAGTCGTGCGTTGAAGTTGGCGTCCAGAAGGACGACTAATGCTTAGCAATTAAATCAGCCAGCTCAGAGAACACAGCTGATTCAAAGCTGTCGGCTTTTTCAATTAAACTTCATAAGTTTCATCTTTTCTGGAAATCACTTAACACCATGTCCAGCTAATGGTGTTAGGGCCTCGTTAGATGACAAAAACAACAGCGAACATAATTATTTCATTGTCATCAGTGTGAGTGCAATAATTGCTGTTCTAGCGTGTTTAATGTTTTCATGTAATTCCAATTGTAAATCCCAGTCTGCATTCAGTACGTTCAGTAGACTGTTTTCACCTGATCTTGGTTCAATATAAGTCGGTTTCTTAAGTAAATCTCCCTTATAGAGACGAATAGAGTATTCCGGTACACAACTAAAGAGTGCTGACCTTCGTTCACGCAAACGTAATAAATTGGTGCCTCAACTAATTATTTTTGGATGAAACAGAATCAAGGAAATATGCAGCGTCTTCTAATCACCTTGGAACCATGCTGTCCGCTGTTGGTTTCTTATCATTTTATGCCACCGGTTCCTATTACCAGCCCCTACCATGCCATAACAAATTCCGCAATTTCCACCTCCAACAAAGGAAACCAGCTTCGCACAAAATCTGCGCTTCACCACTTACAGAATGTTGTCTTGTTATACCTGGCTGCTAAGAGTGTTCTATGTAACGAAAGAATGATATTAGATAGCGCTATCTGTATACACTCATATCTCCGAATAAAAGACTTAATTAAAAGTATAGTGGGAATTCGGGAAGACAGTTAGCTGGGTTTTCTCAGGCTAGAGAACACTAATGGAAGTGATGTAATTACATGCTCGACAGTGGATTAACTCGTATGAAATTCAGTTAAATTAATTAAAACTATAACTTCTTGATCTTATTTCACTTTGGAAGCCAGTTATGGTTCATACATTTACAGTGATTTATTTTTGTGAATATCTAGTACTTATGATAAGTCAAAATATAAGCTAGGAAAGAATCCCCATATCTTATAATATCATCCTGAAATTAGTGCCTAAAACTTTGTCGAACCCTATGTGATCATGGAAAATCGAAGCCATTTTGATCTAAAAATCGCACTGGATTTCTTTCTAGATCTCTCCTCACCATAAAGGTGTAGTTTTATAGCTAGTTACAACCAGGCATAGTTTTTGGTATAGAAAATGCTTCCGCCTGACTCTCATCCTTGATAAGAAAATTTGAGCCAAGTAATGTTTAAGTTAGTCTAACTAGAAATTAATGGAATACTATCAGGGCTTGGAAGGCGATTCGCTGCGCGACGCAAACTGAGTTATCTATGAAATCGGTTGGCGAAATTAGTGTTATGCTAAATGGTTGGGAAATTTAGAATTTCCTTGGCACTTTTTTATGTAAAAAAGTAATTTCATGTAGGTTCAGAATTCCAAACTATCTGGACTCTAGTACTTGAAAGAGCAAAAATATTAACAACCTCCAGTCAAAAATGTGACATGATCCTATAGTTTCTGTGCAGATAAAGGAAGATAACTAGAGTGATGAAATGGGGAACACGTATATAAATTACTGATGCATGTTTGAATGACGTCAGACGTGCGAATGTCGTTCGGTCAGTTAATTGAATACCTTCAGATGCTTCTAACCCTGCTTATAACTGACTTCAACTAGAAGCAGGGTTGATAATCACCCCGTTACCACCTATCCTTAATGACCTGCACTATAGTTACAGAGCATAGCCTGACTCACTTTAACCTGGTAATCAAACTGGTTCCAGAGCCTTTCAGATTATGAAAGCAAATCACTGCAGTCACTGCTCAAAATACATTTAGATATAAGCTAGGAAAGAGTCCGCAAATCTTATCATGTCATCCTGAAATCAGTGTCTTAAACTTTGTCGAACTCCGTGGTCACCTAATGATGCCAACAAACAGAAAAATATTAGCGATGTGCCTCCGTCACAAAGGCAAATGTTTGACGACTAGTAGCGTACATGACTTTTCATGACTCTCTTCTTAGATAGAATGGCCATATGGATACTGAGATATTATGGATTCATATTTATTGTTTGAGGATATAGGGCATGGACGTGATGAAGATGAAGAGTTTTAGGTTTTGCTCAATTTTATAATTTTGAGACTATAATTGTTCACTTAGTAGGGTGGATGGAGAAATAAAACAACAAAAATGAATAAACCAGTGCATAACATATTATTTTGTTTATCTGCGCCAGCTAATTGTGTTCCAAAACGGCACAGCTTTGAAAGTTTCTGCACATTATGCATTAGCGTTATCCATTCTCGTACTAGTTCTGTTGAATGGAATTCTGTGTAAATGGACGAAAACTTCACAAAAAAGAGTGAGATCGAAAGGAAAAATGATAGCGTGGTTATTGATTCAGTGCTAATGCATAAAGCTACACCAGAATATCTCCAAGAACTGCTCAAAGACAAAAGACAGCTACAGAATTTTCCAAACATCTTTTTACATTTAGAGTTCATTCTTGAAAAAGGTAAATATTACCTATTACTCTTTCAATATTTTTAAGATGAAATTACCAGATTGTGTCTTTTTTTAGGTGGTGCGGAGGTAATGTCAGAACTAACAGAGTTTCAGTATAGATCACAAAACCGTATCTGCATCCTAACATTTATCAGTTTTAGTTTGTTTACGATCTTCTTGTATTTGAAGCGCTCATCAAATTAGCCTTATGTTCACACTTTACTATTCAAACCACACGTTGCTTTAGCTTGTCGTTAATATGTAGAGAATTATACTAATTTTGTTTAAATGTTGAAGTTAGCTATTAAAAATGTTACCGAATTAAAAATAATACATCATTTGTGCTTTTAACTAGAATCTAATTCAGTCTTTAACGTTACCTTCTGTATGACTAAAATTTTGGCTAGCATTATTTGTTAAAGGGTCTTGAAATACTAATCTAAAACAAGCTTGATTTCTGGTATTGCACTTATTCTAATATATTTTGGAGGTATTACAGTAACATCAGCTCCCAGTTTTAATTTCGTAAAATCGGTAATCAGGGTATTCTCACAATAATAAAGTTAATTTGAGTGTTCTTTCAGAATCCGTTTGTTCCTCAATTTCTTGATTTCCTTTCCACAATTGCTTTTGATGTTTTATTGCAGAAATTACGCGTGTTAGGCAGAAGCTTTTTCATTTAAATGAGTCTGTGAAGAAGACTGAGAATGAACTTCCAATGCCATCAGGTAACATTGTATCTCTACAAGAAAAAGTGTTTGTCCCAGTAAAAGAAAATCCGAACGTAAGTCATATCTAAATAACTGAAGATTTATTGAGTCCTAGTATAACTTTGTTGGACGACTTCTTGGTCCAAGAGGTTTGACAGCTAAACAGCTTGAGCAAGATTTGGAGTGTAAGATCATGGTCAGAGGTAAAGGATCATTAAGAGACAAACGAAAGGTAAATAATTAACCTAAAATTTCCTTTCATATATCCTGTGAATTTATTACTTTTAAACTGTACAAGAAAGCATATTCGACGTATTTTCGTTGAATAGTCAGAATTTTTATCGCCGTATTTTTTCATTTAAACTGTCCTTTTTGTTTTAACTAATACTAATGGGTAAATAACTATCTCCAGAAAGTGTTTTGAAACGTTTATGTAGTACCTAACTTAAAATAGCTTAATACGGAGTAGGTGAAAAAAACCACTATGAATTTAAGGGTGAGAAGAGTAAATTATTTTTATTCTGTCAGATATGTATGTAGAAACAATTAATACCCATACAATAGATTTTGGCCAAATACTGTGTTTTGTGGAGCTAGTATTTAATGTAATTAGCTAATTTATAACACGGGGACTTGCTCATATACTCGTTTTATACCTATTAAACTGTGTTCCATAACTACGAAATGGCGTCACGAAGAAATTGCTGGAAACGTAACTTATAGCCCAATAAAATGGTTCAGAAATATTCCATATTCATTTTTCGATGCCTTTTGTTTAGTAAGGTAAGGAATAATGTATACGCCACCATATTCTTTTAAGTAAATGCATGGCCGTGTTCAGGTGTATGGGAAAAGATTTAAGAAAATAAGAATGTTGAAAGAAATGGCAAAGGGAATAATTTAAAATAAGTAAAATACTGACGATAAACTACATAGAGCAGAAACACACCGTCATAAAATGTATTTACTTCGCCCTCACTTAAAATACACGCAGAATTACTGTAGGGATTAGCCTGAAGGCATAAGAAATGTTTATAGTTATTTTCTTGTCTCCATCAGGTCGTCTTCCTTCAGTTATTTGGCATAATCATTTATGTCTCGCTGTTTTGTACGAAAAGACATTGTCTTCTACGGTGGTGTTATGTTTGTTGACAGCCTGTCGCATTTATTAACGCATCTAAGAATTTTGTAGATACCTTCTAAGGAAGAATTTCAGAGATAAATTTGTTTTTCATCTACTTCTTCTAATGGTTCGTATAGATATGGTCACACCAATACCATCCGAATTTTCACGGGGTCATACTTTCCGTAGATAAGTACTGCTAGTTTGGTAGGTGTTACAGTTGGAGAAACTAGGTGATTGCCACAGCTAAAGGCCAGGTTCCATCCTAGATCGGTAAAAAGTACATTCAAGTATTTACTTTTGGATGTTCCGAAATTCGGAAACTTTTTATATCATCTATTTCGTCAGCTGGTCTATTTTCAAGCTATGGAACACTTACCTGATAAGCTGTTGGATGTAAGTCATGCTGTCATCTCCAAACTGTTCATCGTAGTACAAATATTTAGTTGTTTTCAGTAGAATTACTCTTTTCTTTCTTGATGAATGTGAAGAGACCACATCGCATCACCTCTTGAAGTGACTTTATTTTCTTTGCATTTATTACCATACACTTGAGTTTCTCTCGGAATACTATAAGGTTCTTCTTATTTGAGAAAAGAAATGTTTCTAACGAAAAGTATGACCATGGTTTGTGGTTATTTCATAAACAAACTTTATCAGTTTCGTTATTTACCATGATATGTTTTAAAAAAAATATTGTTAACATGAACATTGTTTTGCATTTATTTTCGATGCGGAAACACAAATCGAAACGCTCTAACAGGAGGACTTAAACAGGGGAAAACCGAACTGGGAACACTTAGATGAAGAGCTCCACGTTTTGGTCAGTGTCGAAGACTTTGAAAGTCGGGCAGCAATAAAACTCAGGAGAGCCTCTGAAACAATTCGTGCATTTCTTGAACAAGGAGTACGAACGGTGAGTAAATTAATTAATTTTCAGTAGTTTATTAGCAGAAATACTCGTATTCATTTGTCCCTGGGCTTATCTACAGATTTAAAACTGCAGAGGTCATTTGATATCTACTTGAAGATGAGAACAAAGCTCTCCATTAGAATATATGTTTTCATCAAGTTATTTGAAGTGCAAAATAAACTGGCTTTTCTTCATTTAGTAAACTTAAAGTCCTATTAACGAATTACATATCTAAATGGAGATTTGTTTTTTGTCGTAATTAAGCTTAGTGAGTCAGTTAAATCAAAAAATGTTTCCTTTATGAGGTAGAAACCCATCAAGGTATTTTAAAAGCCTTTGTGTACGGACTTTAGCGATTCATGGCGTTTTATAATATACACTCTTCACAGATTGTCTATAAATTCTACCTAAAGTGCTTTCGTATTTGTTGAATGTCACTGTCACCTAAAATATCTGTTTTATAGTATCTTTAGACACCCTCAGTATTTTTGGCGCCCTTTCAGTATTCGCATACAATCTGAGTCATATACCTGAAATTAATGTATAAGTTTCGACTTACAAACTATCTTTATAGTTTAACTGTCATGTCAAAATTTTCATTAGTTATGTGACACCTTGACATTTCTATTTTTTTAAGAAAGATCAGTTTGTTCTGAAAAGAACTTAAACCAAAATGTTAGGTATTCTGTGCTTCAAACAAAGTTTAAGGCATTGCAAGATGGAAACTTAGATGAATGGATTGACATTGTTCACTGTGTTCATAGAAATCGTGGATATAATTAAAAGTATTTGGTATTTGGTACAGTGAATTTAAATGCATGAATTACTGATGAACACTTATTTTGCATACTAGATAAGTTCATTTCAAATACCGTACATTGGTGATGCAGTATTAAAAACTGGGTGACATTTTGAGCATAAATTATTACTGCTCATAATCATATCAATTTGATATAATATCTCAGTGTCTAAGTTCTATATATATTTACATTGAAAATTGTGTACTTTGATATCATATTAACGACCTAGTTTGGTTTTCGAATCTTGAAAAAAAACGAACTTGATGGTTAATTCGTGCCTGGTTTTACTGGATTAATAAGTCGATTAACAGTGTCCCTTACAAACTTGTTATCACCTTTTTCTCATCAGTTTGTTGTCAGAAAGTTCTCAGACCGGTTAGTGTATAATAATCTCAGTTTTACGCACACCATTTATTCTGTACCCAATTGATGGTTCTTCATCGGGTCGCAGTCTCAGCACTGATATGCACTAAAGTATTTCACTTCGTACTAATTGTCAACAAATACTGGAGGTATCTAAACTGTGATTAAATTACTTAATTGTAGTAACCTTAAATTAACAAGGGTCAAAGACTTAAAACACACAGCCTACACACTCTGATACACCGTAACTCATTTATGTCAGCCAGGGTTAATTTTGATTTCTAGAGTTATAGCTGTCTTGTAGTGTTTTTTTGTATGCGCCACTTTTGTTTAACTCCATTGTACTTATGACTTGCTTTCAAGCTGAACCATTCTATATATTTTTTTCTGAGTAATAAATAAAATCAAAGAGTTGCTATAGTCTTTTTGACAAAAGTGTAGAAAATTTCCTGTTAAATTCGTGATAACAACAATAGCTAACTAAACTTTTTGCTAGTCTTATTACTCTTCAGGCTGAAACACGATAGCCAAAAGAAATAAGAGAAATACAAAAAAAATTTGGCATTCACAATGACATTAAATACACTGAAGGTTAAAAGTGATAATGGGTCACTATAATAGGTTCTAACTTGATTGAAATAATCAGGGTCATCACTACTGTCAAGACTGTTTTGTTTTTGTATGTGTGTGTATGCGTATCTATTTATTTATATATAAGTGAGTCATTTAAACACTTCACCTTGTGAATCATTTTTTGTTATCTCCATGTGTGTACATGTGTTGTACAAGCCTTTGTCTTCTTCTTCAAAAGCAGTATTACTAAATGTCCTTCACGTAATGTATCTATATGTGTTCTACAGATATTTATCACGACAGATATAACGACATGTTCCAACTGATATTTATTTATTTATAGTATTTTGTTTGTATTCTTGGTTGTTCTGAGTGTTTATCTTTGCAAACTTAGAGACGATTTCTTTCTTCCTTACTTTCTCTTTTTTTTTTTGGTCATCGTGTTTATTAAAGTACAATTCCTAGTAAGAAAGATGCATAGAAATTTATTCCAGAAATTTATTTTAAAAAACCTGTTTATTTAGTATAAGCTGGTCCATCTAATCTATATGTCATAAAATATGGGGATAAAAGCGAGAAAAACAACTTAGTGTGTACACTTCATCAGAGCAGTATTTAACTGATCTGCACGTACTACTGCTCAACGCTCTTCAGGAATTTACGGTGTCTTTATGAGTGGAGATTAATTGGTGGATGGTGACTAGCAGTGAAATCCAGGGTGCGCATTTCGTCCTATTTAGGACTCGTCATTTGGATGTACCTGCATTCCCCAGTGAGTCAGTAATGGTGTTCTTAAAAAACTGATAAGTGGGAAGGGTATTAATTATTAGGAGTAATTGTGATTACTAACTTCTCTAATTATCGTAATGGGAATGTTTAAATTAGTAAAAAATAAATAAATAAATAGATAAAAATCTGTGGGATTACTTCTACATTTCGCTGGCTAGAAAAACAGTAAGCTTCATGACTGAATGAAAAGCAGGCCTGAAATTTCAAGTCATACGAAACGATTATCTGCTAATCATGCTGGGGGAATGCTTGAATAAAGGTGTTACATGAACTGACATACACATAGTTCGCTTTCTTGATTACAAACTATAGAGAAAGATGATCTCATGAAGAAGTGAGTTGTAGCCGTAGGTTTACAGAGGAATATCCACTGTAGTGAAGTGTTAATGACGTAATATAGAAGCAGTATTTCATAGTTGCTTTTATAGCAGTGATTTCAAATATATATATATGTTGACGTCGGTTGGTGACGAAATTCGTCGAAATTCCATACAAAGCCGAAACATAAGGGCGAAGTACATGTCTTTAGAGAAAATATCACAATTTTTTCCGGCGACAAGTGTGACGATTTATCACTATTTTCACCACACTGCTTATTGAGTGAGACAAGGAATCTTCAAGTGTGTTGAATTAGTTTAAATTCTTCAGAGATTTTTAAATTTCCCACTGTGAATTACATTTCCTAACTTGTTAGAAAACACATTATTTGCTGTCAATTAATTCAATGCGCTTATCTTAGGGAAAATCTGTTTTCAAACACCTTTTTTTGTCCCACTTAGATAACCTCAAAAATAAGATTGTCTATGAAATATAACATCAAAATTTAATGCATACAGTACTTTAATGCAGCACGGTAGTGCTGAAGGCTTTACCAGTATTCACTAATTAGGAGGGAAAGTTACACAACTGAACGCCAGACTTTTTTATTTCCAGACTTATCTCTACACACCTATTCGTCCTTCCACTGTTATACAATACAAAGCGCTTATATATGAAAAGATGTAAAATTTTATCACGTCGCGTAACCTACCGCTTATGGTGTCTGTGTGTGTGTGTGAGTGTTTGTTTTAGCCTACTTTTTCTATAGTGCCTTATGATGCAAGGTAAATAGTACTTTTAACAGTTACTAATGGTAGTTTTCGGATTTGATAGTCATTCTAGTGTAATGAAAAGTTCTGATAGGTTGTATAATCACTTAACAAAAGTTGTACGCATACACATTTAAAATACAAGAATAACAACTTCATCACTCTACAGTGGGTTATCCAATTTGAAAGGACAAATTATCCGAGTATTAGTTAAAAACTTGAGTTTACTATTGGGCACTGTTGTGATATTATTATTATTATTGTTTCCTTTAATTCCTAGAGGAACATTCCTGCTAGAGTCTTCACCTGGTTCCTAGTCTGCCCACACGCTTTCATCTCCTCTTCACATAACCTCCTCCAAGTCACCCTTGCACTGACGACCAACTAACTCACCGCTTCCCTTTCGGGTTCCACTCGAGCGATAGCCTGGTGTGTGATGTCACTTGATGGTTTCCTCAGAGTATGGCCTGCAATCCATCTCCATTTCTTCCTGCCTATTTGTTTCACAATCGGTTCCTGGTTGGTTCGCTCATTGGCAGAGATCCAACTCTGTTGCTGATCTTTTTTGGCCATCTGATCTTGAGTATTGAGCAAAGACAACTGTTAATGAAGGTCTGTAGTTTGTTTGAGATGCTCTTTATGACGCGCCAAGTCTCTGATCTGTTGTGATACATATCAGTCATTTAACTGGTAGTAACAGATACGGGTCTGTAGGAAGCGGACATCGGTGATTAGTTTTCAACATTAAACGGATAGAAGTGGGAACTGCAACGAGAAACAGTGCAATCAGTATTCCTACTGTGACACCAGTGGTAATCCTACTTGGAAGTTCTAATTCCCCTGACAAGCAAGGTTAAGGAACTATAATTATTAATTACTGGGGATAATCGAAGGCTTCTACAACTGTTCCACAGGAACTAATATAGCTGTAACACCTAGACACTACGGCGGCTTGGAATCCCATTTTAATTTGTCTGTTAGATACAGAAGTGGCATTCAACTCCACTCCCCCCCCACAAATTTACTTAAAAATAAATTATGTCGTCTAAAGGATCCCAAAGAGTCCATTCGACAAAATGATTTATTTTATCCAATACCTTACAATGATTGTGAGGTCAAATACACAGGTCAGAATAGTAGGCCAGAGTCAGTAAGATTAAAAGAGCACAAAAGCCTAGTGAAATGTAGATTAGTTGACCTTAAGAAATTTAGAAAGAAACTCAGCTACAGCGTTATATACAGGTACACACAACCATGCAGTTGGATGACACGGTGTTAAAGTTTAATGGGAGAAATTGATATCCGAAGCTTTATACATCGAACCAACCAAGAACATGTACAATGCGTATTGTTCAACCCCGACTCCGGACATCTGGAAAAATTGCACTAC